AGACAAGACAATTGAAACGTAGATATTTAGAAAGACCCAGTTTTCCATAGAGTTTATCCGGGTGTCTAAGATCCTTTTCCTCAGGGAGTAGTTTGAAGGTGACACTGAAGTTGCAGAATCCCAGGTCCTGACCAGACCTCCTTAAATGGACCTCTGAGGAGGGGGCCCAGGAGCCTGCTTTTTAAACAACCTCCCTGGTGATTCCTGTGGATAGTGAAGTTCAAGAGCCAATGGCTCCATTCCAGAACTTCCAGAAAAGTGGCAGAAGCCCCAACTGTGTCCGGGACCTCTCTCTTCCCCTTGGTACTCACAGCCCAAAGGATACGAACTAATGCAAAGAATTTCTGATACAATATCCTCATGAAAACCGTAGGCAGATGAATTTATCCAGCATTTAGGTGAAATTCTAAAAATACACAGCCTGCAATCTCTGTCAAGGTCACACCACGACCTCGAGGAAGCACCATCTACCTGCCCCCAAGTATGTAAAAAGGTGGCAGCCAGTACGTGGCCATGGCCTGTCCTTTTTAATCTTCTCTCAGGAAGAAAGGCGCCATAGAAAAGAAAACTATTTCACAGACACAGGAGAGAGGTTTATTGCTCATAGCGACGGAGCACTGAGCTGAATGCCGGAAGGAGTGTACAGTCGGTTGGAGATGACTCAAGTCAACAGCTCCCCACCCCCCTGGCTGATTTCTAAGTAAAACCAGACAGGCTCTCGGGGAAGCATCTTTGGGAGGTCAGCTGACCGGGAGACACACAAACCCCAAGTGCCACAACACTCATCCGAGTTCACGGACCCTTTGCGGGTCTCAGGGCTCCGAAGTCCCCTCCTTCAAGAAGAAGCATGAGGAAAATCTGGCATGGGTGCAGAGTGACTGAAACAGGCATCGTGGGAATGGTTTAAATCTACGAATTCATGTAGGGCTGGAAACTGCCCTCTCTGTGGTTTTGGGAATTTGATAGCCTCTCCATTCCAGGCTTTATTTTCAAGCTTCTTAAAGTGCTTTCGTGGCATGCAGCTGTCCAGCAGAGCTTGGGCCTTAAACATCGAACCTTGCACTTGACTGAAGTCAAGGAAGTAAACCCAGGCCTTGTGACACAGACGCTGATCTGGGTGTTTCTAAGCGCTTTCCCTGAGATAACCATGTGACGTTTGATACATTAAATTACCAAATGAGGTAGATAATTCACCTGGGGGTAATGAAACGGGGTCAAGTTTATAGGCTGTCTATAGATGAATGCAAATTTTCATCTCAAGGGAATTCTAGCCGAATTGGTGAACACTGATCACTGATGCTATGATTTTCTTCTTACTTCTCCTTGGGTTTTAGTGTCTGTGTCTAAATAATAATGAAAACACCCAATCGACTGACTCGTCTGGGGTTTTGTCTACCCGATGCCAATGAGACTGGTCGTATTGGGTTTTAGCAGTCCTAAAGTCCTAAGGGGTTAGTGAAAATTATGAAATGCATCTTTTCAAGACTTGTGGCATTCTGGGTGACAGATCTGGTTTCTTAGCTAAAGAAGAGGTAAAGATACCTAGTTGTTTCAGGACTATAAGCCGTCTATACAGAGTGAGCAGGAAGAGGATTCAACACAGTTATTCCTCCAACCTGACTTTGATGAAAACGTATTTTACTGCTTGAACTTGACTGTCTACTGGCCTCATCCATTGGGTCACCCCTCCTCTTTGGCCCAATTCTAAGAGTATTTGTGCACATTTTCTTGGCTCCATGCTTGTTTTCAAACTCATTGGTTCTTCTGGTGCAGGGACAATGGAGGGTGAACAGCTGCCGCTCACTAGGAAATTGCCACAAAAATGAATGTCTGGTGCGATTCAAACTTGAGTAGCCCCACGCTCTCTGAATCAGAGCAATTTTGTTTCAGTGACACTCAAAGTCACGTCTGGGCAGGAGTGTGCGGGAAGGTGTTTAACAACCAGCTCTCGGTGCAGAAAATGCCTGATTTGTAGCATCTGCTGACTTTCCTGGTATAAATATTACCAACATCACATCCCTAAACACGGAATTGGGAAGGAGTGTCCCCCTGGCTCCTCCAAGCAGGTGTGAGCACACCTCCAACCGCAACCGGAAGGCGTAGAGCCCTCCGAGGCTATATCTGCTTGTTCTAGTCTCCATGGAAACCTTGAAACTAGATGAGACTAGGCCAGGCTCAGTTATTTGTTTTCTAAATGAGGAGCTGAGGTTAATGAGACATCTTCCCAAATAAACATGCACAACACTCACCTCTCTTTCACTGCTGGGGCCTCTCGCAGTGTTGCTCTCAAGGATGTGGGAGACAGGCACGAGGGACACCGGACCGGTGACTGCACCCCGTCGCCAGTCTGCTCGTTTCTCATGGACGGAGTGACCCGCTTCTGCCCGCTGGAACAGTGACCCGTTCCTCCCGGCGCTCAGCTCGGAACGCCGCTCTTAGCGTTCACGCGTTAATTTGAAATGGTGAACAAAGATGGGACAGGCAGAAAACATGGCTCACTCACCTGGGTTTTTATTAAATCGGGATGGGGACTGCTAATGGATTGGCGTTATGTATTAAAGTGATGGGTCTCAATAAAAACTTCACACTCCCATCATTAGCACGGGACACTTTCTTGATCACCTTGGACAGCCTCTACTTTCTGTTGACAGACATAGAAACCAGGATATTGAGTCACCAGGGTGATGGGACCCTGTGCGTTAAAATCAAGGCTAAAACCCTGCTCAGGTCAGTTCTGGGCTGTGCATTTCAAAGGGTGTGCCAGACAAAATGTGTGAGAGACACGAGGTAAAACGCTTCCTGCAAATTCAGGTCACAGATCAGGGGAGGGGTCCCGCCAGCCTGCCTCTCCTTGGTGCCAACACTTATGGCATGTAAATCAGAAAAAGGTGACTTTGGGGTCAGACTTCAAAGGACATTATTACATGTATTACCTGCCTATCTAAACCACTGTCATGCTAAGATCGTCTACACACGTAAATGTTAGCTTTTGGGGGGAAGGGAAGGACGGAAGTTGAATCCGATATAAGCATTTCTAAAGCCTGCCTCTCCTTGGTGCCAACACTTACGGCATGTAAATCAGAAAGAGGTGACTTTGGGGTCAGACTTCAAAGGACGTTATTACATGTATTACCTGCCTATCTAAACCACTGTCATGCTAAGATCGTCTACACACATAAATGTTAGCTTTTGGGGGGAAGGGAAGGACGGAAGTTGAATCCGATATAAGCATTTCTAAGACACCTGATCCGCAACAATGAGGCAGCCGCTAGCTGTTTAACATATTCCCCTTGGGTATAGTCTCAGCCGAGCACAGTTTACTTAGTGCCAGCTGCGTGATATTTGGGTTAAAGCAGCCACCACTACCACGTGCAGAAGAGCAGCCATGTGGGGCCAAAAGGTCACTGCCATCCTCGCTTTCAGCATGACCGATGGCCCATGGAGACCACCGCTCCTCTTCGGCGTGGACCTCCACGTCCCGCGGTGAAGAAGCAGGTGGATGCCACGCTTCCCCGCCTGCCACCAGCACTTGACCCTTGATCCTCGTGTCCTTGATCATGACTGAACTGAGCGTCGCCTCTGGTGAGTCCAGGAGCTCAAAGGAGCTTCTCAAAAAGAAAAGCCAGTGCACACCCTCCGGTCATCCTTTGTTGATAAATAGGGACAGTTCGACGTCTGCCCTTGAGGAACCGGAAGAAGCCTCCAGAACCCCTACAAGCCAGGCACCCGGACTCGCGGGGCTTGCCAGGTGGGTGGCGGCTTCTGGTGTCCGCCCAGGAGCCCCAGGCCCTCCCTGCCTTCTCACCGACTGTCTCATTCCAAACTCTCCAGCAGGTGCGGCATCACTCAGAGACCGGCAGGATGTTCTGGCTGTGCGAGTCCCCGGTGAGGCCCGAGGAGTGGAGCGGGTGCCTGTTGAGGACCCTGTTCAGCATCTCTTTGCAGCCGTTGCGGTACTGGTGTCGCAGCAAGGAGTACACGAAGGGGTCGGACGCGGCCTTGCCGTAGGCCAAGCACTTGGACAGCACGCCCCAGTGGGGGCCGATGGGCACCGTGGAGGACAGCTCCACCAGCCTGTGGAGAGATGGGACGGTCGTTACTGAGGGCGCAGCTGGGCACTGCCTCGGGACGGCCATGGACCAGCGCGCCCATCCGCGCCCCTGACCCCAGCTCTCTGGCCAGGCCTCGGTTTCCCTGAGATTGCCTCCTCAAGTGACAATAGCAACAACAGCAGTTCACGACGGTGACAATGGCGCCGTACGCATTCACCTGGCACTCGTTTTATTCTGTGTACTGTGCTAACCACACGCTTGACACACGCGACTTCCTGGAACCCTGGGAGATGGGACAATCTCCATTTTACATGCAGGAAACAGACGACCAAGGAGGGGAAATCGTTTGCTCAAGGTCACATGACCAGTATATTGTAAGGGTAGGATTTGAATTCAGGTCTGTCTGACTCTGGAACCCAAGGTCGTCTAAGAAATGACCTAATAGCTAATAGTGTCCTGGCCACTGGCTCCAGCTCTGCTGCTGATCTGCTGTGTGACTCTGGGCTAGTCATTTCCCTTCCTTGGACTTGGACGTTTTATATGAAAAGCGAGGAGTTGAGCAAGATCATCTCTGTGACCACTGCACATAGAAGAGACTGTTATTTGCTTCAGCTCCTGGCTCTGGGAGGCTGCCTGGGAAGAAGGGCTGAGATGATTTTGCAAACCTTCTGCAAAGCTCAAAGTAGGTCTTGTATCAGGAAAGAACCTGCTGGCCAAGCAGGCTTCTGTCCAGGGCTGGGATTCTGGTGGACCCTGGCAACAGTGGCAGTCGGGGCACCCTAAAGTGACCCTCATATTGGGGGGACGTGGCTTAAGAAGATGCAGCTCATGTGTCAAAGGGGCACATGAGAGTCCTCCTGGGACGCATCCGATGACCCCGTTCGGTGGCGCCAGTGCTCGGCTGTGACGTAGTAGGGTTTCCCTCTGTGTAAATGGAATTCCCCCAAATCACGCCACTTTTCTTCTCTCTCAAGTGTGTCCAGCACGCTTGGCCATATTTGGACGTGATCCAGCATTAATTAAGCTAGAAAAGGCCGCAGAACTGGGAGAGGGCTTAGAGAGCTTAGAAATCACAAGTCACCCTCTCCGCACCCACTGAGACCCAGAGAGGGACAGAGCAGGAGCTGGTGGGCGGTGGCCCTCCCCCGCAGCGCCCCTCCCCCGCAGCGCCCCTCCCCCGCAGCGCCCCTCGCCGAACAGATCCTAAGGGTCCCATTCTGAGCCCCTCTATTTGGCTTCTTATTTCCAGCACCTATGTCCGCCCTTGCCCTTCGACCCCGTGTGGGGGATGGGACCACATTTCTGCTCATGTCCTTAGGAGCCTGAATGGGGGAAATATAGCCGTTCGCGCTTGGGAAATCTGTCCTTCCAAAAAATCTATTTCGTTGAGTGATGAATTTAAGAAGACAGAAACCCTGCATTTAGAAGTCACACCTAATAATAACAATGGAATAGCTGAATGGCAACACGTTGTTGCTAGGCGATGCCGAATTGCTTTTTCAAAATATCTAGTCTTCTATATATCGCTAAATTCGATCTTAGCATTTTGGCTCTCTCAAGAGGATTTATTAAGAAAGCCCAATATCAAACCATCCAGCAAGGTCAAAATTATTATTTGCAGGTTCTTCAGATTTCACAGAATAAAATTATTCAGGACAATTCAAAATTTTTGCCACTTCCCCAATTAACAGATAAAATCTATTGCATTTGCTCCTCATAGACTCTATATAAAGTATGAATTTGCCTGTCTCAGTCGTGATAATTCCCAGCTGAGTATCTCCTGTGGGCCAAATACTTGATGTGCACCATCTCTGATCTTACAATCATCCCGCAGAGTCGGTATTCTCATTTTACAGACGGGGAAATCGAGGCTCAGAGAGATTCAGCAGCGCACCAGCATCTCCTACATGGGAAGCCCAGTAGGAGATGCACCCCGAATGGGCTCAGAGTCACACTGGTTTCGAACCTCAACAATGGTATTGGACAAGATGAGCTCTGGGGTCTGTTTGAACCCCGCCAAACGCCTTTTCCATGAAGTCTTATGACGATCACCCAGGACTCTTGTTACTTGTCACTGCCCACAGTGCCCATGACAACCTCTGCTCTGAAAAGCCAATGTCTGGCCTTTGTCAGGGTCTGCAGGCAGAGATGCTTTAGGTCAGTGTGGGCCCGGCCACTGCTCTGGTGTGGCCGCTGGGCCAGGCTGAAGCTAGGATGCCCCTCCCGTGTGCACATGTGGTTGGCTGACCTGCTTTCTGCTTTTCCTGTGCCCGTGGACCCCCTGTGCCCCACCGTGCACCTGCTGTGGCTGGCTTTCCTCTGTCCCAGCTCTGACCAGCTCTGACCACTGGACGAGGGAAGGGGCGCTCATTCTGATCTGTCACGTTTTTCTCATGGGCAGGGTCACTGCGTGCTCAAGGGGCTTGCCATGCTCTGCCCGTGTCCCTTTTACTGCACCTGTGGGTTTACTGCTCCCCTCTTCTGCTCCCACCCCCAGTTCTGACCCGAGACCCCGTGTTTAGGGGTTATTGAGATCAGGTGTAAATAAAGTGGGACTTCGTTTCCTTCGTCACAGCCCACCGGGGTGGGTTGAATTGCATCTCCCTAAAGTTTGTATGTCGGAGTTCTGAATGGGACCTCACTTGGAAATAGGGTCCTTGCAGATGCGATTAGTTACGATGAGGACACTGAGGTGGCCTTACTCCAATATAATGGGTGTCCTTATAAAGGGGGACATTTGGACACAGATGCTCACAGAGGGAACATCGTGTGGACAGAATGGCACAGGTGGGGTGATGCTTCTCCAAGCCAAAGATGCCAAAGATGGCCAGGGAACCCCCCAGAAGGTGGAAGAGAGGCCCGGAACAGAATCGCCCCCACGGTCCCAGAAGAAACCAACCTGGCCAACACCTTAATTTTGAACTTTTAGCCTCCAGAACTGAGACGATCCTTTTTTACTGTTTAAGCCACTAGGTTTCTGGTTGCCTGTTCAAGGGTGCGCTGGGAAAGGAGTACTCCGTGAAGGGAGGAGCCCCAGTGGACATAGGGGGCTGTTGGGCAGATTTGGCTGTTCGTGGATCCCTGGCCATAATGACATAAAGATAGCACCAGGCCTCCACCCCATTCCTGGAACCGGTGTGCAGCAAGGCCCGCCCGGGGGGTTTGCAGAGGCATTAGCTGCCCCGGAGCGGGGTGCTGACTCCTCGCTGCCCTCCCTGCCCCTCTCCAGCTTCCATTAGGCACCAAAGTGACTTTCCATGTACCGCCTGGGGCAGGAACTGGAGCAAACCTCTGCCATTAGGCTCCGTTCATGGGGAAACGTTTATGCTTCTGTGCTCACAATGCACACATGCCGGCCTAAGCACCTGACGCAGCTCTCCCCTGCAAATCCCCTGGGGGTGAGAGCCCAGGGGTAAAAGGTCACGTTGAGGGGGAGAAGAGGAGGGGGAGGGAAAGGGGGCCAGGAGCCTGCTTTTTCAGGCTTTTTAGGTGATTATGATGCAAGCAATTCAGAGACACCTGCTGTGAGCCCTGGGGGGGATCTGGGCAGAGTGTGGGGGCGGGTGCTGCGGGGTGCGGGCCTGTTAGCTAACAGGAAGCAGAGCACAGGGATGTGTTATTCTGACTCAGGGTGACACAGAGTAGATACAGCACAGAGCCCCAACCCCAGTCCTAGGCCTCTGGCCCCACCTCGGCACCAGTTTGCTCTCTGTTGTGGGCCCTACTCCTCCAGGGAGCCACGCCGCACCCCCCACCCCCTGCAGAAAGCCCTCCAATCTGGGTCACCGGCAGGTCTCTGTGCTGGCTGTCACAGCAGAGGGCTTATGAGGCCAGGAAGCCCACCCCCTTTGCCCCTCGCCCACAGGGACTTCTCACCCCGACCCAGCTGCCAGGCCGTCCTGGTCTTCGGAAGGAGGATGGGGGTGCATTTGCCAGAACTCCGAGGCATTCTCTGAACTCCTGGAGAGGCCAATGTCTCAATTCTGCTGGAAATGAGAATCTCCAGGATACTAGATTTAGGGCGAACGCAGGACTGACCGGGCAGCGGCCCTACACCCAGCCCTCCCTCCCCTGGCGCCCCTCGCCCCCTGTGCTCTGTGCTTTGAGAAGCACATCACCGGCTTTGTCTCAGGCCCCCCTGAAGGTGTCCTCCCTACTGTACAGAGGCGGGACCAAGGCAAAGTGACGTGCCAAGACCACAAGTCCTGGACGTGGACGAACTAGGATTTGAACCCTGGAATGTAGACACCAGTGACTATGTGCCTTCCTGGCACCAGGCTGCCCCTCCCAGCTCCTCGGCTCGGTTCCAGCTACAGTCAGAGATGTTCACTTTCAACTCTGAATGTTAAACGGTAAACCGGGGCCCTCTCTTTACACCTTCCACGCCTCCATTGTCTCTTCTCTCTCCTCTTCCCCCCTCCCCCTTTCTCTTTCTCTCTATCTCTCTGGGTCACACCAAGATGCTGGCTCACAGGAAGTTGGATAACACATAGATGTAGTCCTGGGCTTTGGAGGTATTGCATCGCAAGGCTGAATAGACTTGAGCTGACCTTGAATCCTTGAACCCTTGACCTTGAACTTTTGCCAGTTGCTACTCCTATGTCCATGAGCAACTCATCTTCCCTCTTGAAACCTTTGTAAGATGAGGATGCTAATACTTACCCTGCAGGAGAGCTGTACGAGGTGCACTCAGGTATGTACTGGTACCTCCTAGGTGCATTACAGACATCCAATAAGTGACAGGTACAATTACAAAGATTTCCTGTTCTCTTATAATTAGGCGTAATAACAAGGAAAACTTGAGAACCTATTTGGAGACTTGAGTGGTTCTTGACCTAAGAAGATGCTTCCCGATCTGAGAATGTTGTCTGGCAGATTCCAGTAGATTGCAGATAAAGAGAAGGGACCCCCCCGCCCCCCCGCCCAGCCAACCTAATCTTCTTGATCAACTCAAAGGAGTGGCGGATGTCAGAGCAGAAGCCCCTCCTCTTCCTCGGTGTCCCCATTCTGCCAGCTCTGAGTTGCCCACAGCCATCCTGACATCATTAACCCAGGCTCTCACGGCTCCGTTTATAAGGTTCGGGAGGGAGGGAGTTGCAAGGCAGGCTGGGGCTGCCTGGATAGAGACAGTCACTGTGAGTTGCGGGGAATATCAGTTTCTGTGCTGGCAGCTCAATGATGGGTTTGGGTGACACTTAGACTTGATCACACAACTTGATCTCAGTCATCTCAGAAACTGCAGCTTTCTGGTTCTGAGCGAGTCATGGGTGCAAAGCACCTCCCCACACCCTTTTGGAAGGAAAGCGAGAACTTCACGCTGTCAGAGGAGATGCGGCGCGAGGGGCCTGTTCCAGGCTTAGTTCCAGGCAGAGCCAGGCTGGAACCCTGGCTGAGTCACATACTGGATTGGACAAGCCTGGCACCTGTCTGAGCGTCAGAATCCTCTTCTTTAAGATGAGCGCATTATCCGGCTACGGAGGGCGGCACGGGTTCAGGCACAGAGTAGGGACTTACATGATTAGTTTAAGAGACAAGCTTGTTCTTACTTCTCCCTCTGAATTCCCCAGGGTCAGCCTGTTGCTGCCTCAGTGGCTTTGATTTTTATTTCTACGGGCAGAAAGGAGGCAGAGAATGATGAGTTGGGGCTGCATCCAGGGGAGTCTCCAGGGCTGCTTGGTGGCCGTCCAGGGGATGCTCAGGCTGCTGGTCCCCTGCGCCTTGTTACCCAGGTGACTGTGCAATCAATCCCTGGGCTCTCTGAGCCTGGGTCCCCGTCTGCAAGGGCAGCTCAAACAGCTTGCTCAGCCCTTCTCTTGGGGGCGCTGTGGGGTCCAGGAGGATAGCGTGAGCCATGTCAGGTCCAGCTAACCTTTGCCAGAACACTTCTTAGCTCCACGAGGCCACCTCTGCCCCACCGCGCCTCTTGGCGCTCGTTAGTCCTAAGTGTGCCAGGAGCCCCGTGCCTCAGCTGCGAAACCGTGGGGTTTTCCTTCCCCTCCAGTGCGCAAAACTGACGGCGATACCTTTTTTTTTTTTTTTTCTTTTGCTGGCTAAACTGCACGGGGAAAATTCTGTAGCTAGAGCAGGTCGGCTTCTGGAATGCACGGTCCTGAGGTCAGGGCACTGAGACCTTGGCTGGGGACTGGGAGAGAACGCGACAAGCTCACCACAGCTGGGCTAACAGTGGGAGATCCCGGGGCTGTAGGACAGGTGGGCTCACCTGGCTGGGCACGGCACGTGCTCCCTGCTCCTTGCTCCCTGTGCAGATGGCATGTGGCCCCTGCTGTTGACCAGGGTGTCCAGGCCGAGGATGTACCGCGGTCGGTGGGCAGCAGGAACCCCGCCACTGCAGGCTGTCTTCCTCCATCTTTTACCCCTTTCTTTTCTTTTAGGGCCTCGTGGGGGCGGGGCCCAGGATAAAGGGTTATAACGACGTGATTTGGAAATCAAGTGGGAGAAGGTCTTTTACATCTTTTAGTTCTTCGTTAAATTCAAGGCTACAAAGAGAAAGCATGCTTCCCCCTTCTCCTCAGACCAGTCAAGTTCACTCTTACCCACCAATGCACTGCCTGGAGGGTCGTGGAGCCCAGAGAGGCCAGGGACCGCTGAAGGTCACGTGGGCCCTGGTCGCCCTCCAAAGCCCCGTGCTCGGCCCACCCGCCCCATGTCAGGCTCACCTGGTGATCACATAGGGCGCAAAGCACACAAGGAAGGTCCCTATGAAGGTGCTGATCTTCTTGGTGGCACGCTGCCGCCTCCTCTTCTGCTCCTCCAGACAGCGTTCCCGCACACTGCACATGAGAGAAGGGGAGAGGTGACCCATGGCTCGGCTGGCCTGCCCAGGCCACAGCAAGTTACTGTCCATCAGCACAGGCAGTGCAGGAAATTGGCTATGCAGCCAGAGAAACCTGACTTCACGTCTTGGCCGTAGCTGTGTGACCCTGGACACGCCGTGTGGCATCGCTAAGTCTCAGGGCCATCGTCTGTAAAATGTGGATAGTAAGAGAATAAAACGCCACAAAGGGCTCTCTTGAGAATTAAATGCGTAAAGAACACAGATGCATGAAATGAAGTGTGTTCAATGCATAAAGCACAAGAAGCTGTTTTTCAGCACAGTGCCCAAGCAAGCGCAAATAATATATAACTCTTACTATTACTCGGATCACTCACTGACCACCCGCTACGCCCCAGCCCACACGCAGAGCATCTCTAAATCTTATCTTTACCACAATTGTTCCCGCCGGGCACATTCTAGCACCCAGGTGACGTTTTACCTGCCCCATTTTACAATGAAGACCATGAGCTCAGTGAGACCGAGTGATTTGCTCAGTGGGGAAGTGGAGACAAGCGTTGAACCTGCGTCTGTGTGACCTGAAGCTGGTCCTTTTCCCCTGGGGGTGGCCTGGACTCTGCACAGTGTGCATGGTGCTTCCTTTTCTCCACCCCTTCGGCCCTGCGTCTTCCGTCCAAAGCCTCAGCTCTGCCCAGAGCTACGGACACCACTTACTGGGTCATCGAAAGACAAGTCACTCAATTCCTTCAGAGACCAAGCTTGGCGAAGCTAAGGGGCTGCCGCGTCTCTAGAGAATCGGGGACACAGCGTTGAGGATGGAATCAGGAGCTTGTTGCCTGTGCCTCGAACCATACCCTGCTCCTGTCTCTGCTTTGCTCTGGGACCTTTCGAGAACAGACATCTCATGCCAACTGAGAGCTGTAGTTCTCGCAACCCATTTCCTGTAGCCACAGGGAAATGCAGGAGCAACGAGCAGCGTGTCTGGCTATGAGCACGGTCAAGTGTGGAAGCTCAAGCTCCTGCTCCATCCTGCGGGGCCCGACGCAGTGTGTCTCCACTACTGGCTTTTAAAGTAAATCACTTGATTCCAAAAATGAACAGGAAGGAAGGCTGTCGACAGAGCTGCCCAGGAAGTGGAGAAAACTTGGCAGAGCCAGGCCTGGGCTGCAGCGGCCTGGCTCCAAAAACAAGCCGGTCTGTTGGTCTGTTCAGCGAAAGCAGAGTGGAGGGAATGAATATTCATGAGCCAGGTTCATGCGCAGCTTCAATGCCAAGGCTGCCTCCCTTCCTTCCACACGAATCATGATTTTAATACTTAGTTGAAACTCTTCTTCATGAGATTTCTGATCACAGGTGGGCAAGGCCACATTTGTTCGGCTTGAAGGCCCCCCCAAAATTCCTGCAGGACTTTTTCTCCCTTGCTTTGTGTCTTTCCAGGAATTTAGAGAGCTGGAAACTGGTGTTTAGCTTAGTACAAACAGGCTTCGCCTGGCTGAAAACTTATTACTCATGACTAATATTACTAATTAATTTCTAATAACCATATTAATACAAACCCACATTTCTTAAGACTTAAACACGTGCCATCTTAGATGCTGTGATGGGGGTTCCTGCGTAGGGAGGCAGCAGGGTGTCAGTCCATCCGGATAAGCTGCAGAATACCGTGGGGGGCGGGGACGGCGGGGTGACTTGGCCTACGATCACGCAGCAAGAATTGATCTTAAATCTCCCGACAGTCCATTTACACCCAGGCTTCTGCCGCGTTTTCTACCAAAGCCCTTTGACTCAAGTGACGTGGAGAGAAGGGCGTGGAGAGAAGGCACAAGTCCCCAGCTGGAAGTCTGCAGGCAGCGAGGTGACCAACTTGCTTCAGTTTTCCTGAGGCTGTCTTGGCTTAAGAACTCCAAGTCCTGCATCTGAGGGTCCTCTTGTCCCAAGCAAAGCAGGACAGTGGTGGTCATCCTAGGGCATAGCGTGTTTGGCACATTCTCCACAACGCAGGACGGATGTTTTCATATTAAGATATTTCCGACAAGGCTTTCGGTACAATCGAAGTGAGAGTTGCTGGAGATTTAGGACATGGGCTGGGTGTCCTGAGCCATCACAGTACACTCAGGTCATCCCCTAAAAAATGAGCACCAAATTCACGTAGATAACTCATCGAGGGGATCCCAACTGGTGGTGGCACCGGCACCAGGTCCTCCTCCCACCTGCGACCTTGACAATGATGTCCATTTTGCAGATTCTCTAGAATAACTCAGAGGGTGTCTGGGGTGGATGCTCTGCCCAGGAGCAGCATCCGCGCGGGCCTGGTCACGTCTCTGCTCTGGGACTGGCTGGCTGGACTCTGTCATTTGCCATCTGCAGAATGAGAGATGCTCTCACTTAACCAACCTGCTAGCAGATGGGAAAACTGGGGCTCAGAGAAGAGAGACTCGCCCATCGAGAGAGGAGGGTGCGGGTGGGGTGGGGTGCTGTCGCCGACGTTCAATGTAGTGTTCCTGGTTTGGAACCATGCAGCTGCTTCCTTAAACTCTTGCAAAAGATCGAATCCATCTTCTCTGCCCGGGGCTCCCCTGATTTCCAGGTGAGAACAGATTGGTGGCGGGACTGAGGACGGCAGGGCCGTCCCCAGGCTCCGAGGGGAGCGGTGCAGCCCTCTTGCTTATCATTATTATTTAAGCACTGTGACCCATGGGGTCCAAGAGGCGTTCCCCAGCAGGCTTCAGTCACGGGGCGGAAGTGACAGAATGCTGGGAACGTCTGCGAAGTCCGCAGATGAGGTGATCGCGGCTAACACCCGCCAGCCCCAGACGCCCCCAAGCTTAACACCATGGCCGGGGCCTGAACGGTCCCCAGATGGCCGTACTCAGAGCCCAAGTACTCAGAGTGACCTAGATTTGTTTTCTGGCTTTTAGGAGAATGAACCAAAAGCCAAGGTAGTGAGTTGGCCATTCGGTGGTGGAGAAGAACCTTGAGTTTGGGGCCAGGACACTGGCGTGAGCAGTCCTGGCAGAGGGGTCTGTGTCCTGGGCCCTGGCCATAGCAGAGCTCACACCTCTCCCTACAAAACGAAGAGTTTGTGGGGCTATGGGGAAGTGCCCACCCAGAGCCCACAGCCTCCATTCTAGACCAAGCTCTAAGGACCCCAGGCATGGAAATCCTTGCCCACGGCCCCTGCCCCCGCTTCTGGAGCATGCGCAGGCATCTTCCCTGAGCCCGTCGTCCTGAGGGTGGCTGTACCGCCTGTGTGCTCAGCTGGAGACTTGAAGGGTGGCATTGGTGAGTTACATGTGGATGGACAACTTGCAACGTCCACTCCGTGCAGGGGAGGCTCCTTATGGTGCGGGGAGAGGTGGGGGCTGCGTGCTCATGGCCAGCTCGGTGCTGCCCACTGTGTATGAGGCTGAACTCCAAGGAGCCTGAGAGTTCTAAATTTTCACCCAACCTTGCAAAGCGTTATACATGAGTCTTTGTCAAGGTGGGAGGGTAGAACATATTTCATCTCACAGTTTCTAAACTAAATTTAGAACTTCTAAATATGTATAGAGATGGTATACACGCCTCCATCTGCACCATTTCCCATCCATAAATCCCAGGACAGACGAGACCATGGGTCATGACCACGCTCAAGAGCTGCTAAATTAGGCAGGCCCCCCACTTCCCGGGGCTCCCAGTGTCCGCGTCTGTAAAATCAAGGGCACGGTGAGGTTATCTCTGTGGCCCCTTCTGTCTACTATGCCACAGTCGGACGCTGTCCAGAGCCAGCACTCAGCCGCCCCCAGCAAACCCTGGTCACAGGGTGAGCGTGCGCCACCATTCTACTCCGAGAAGTCATGCACCCCGCCAGCGAGCGGCAGTCCACGGTGGGACTGCCACGTCAACGCCCCGGCTCTTCGCCTGTGTCCCCAGTCTCTGGCGGCACCAGGGGGAGGACCTGGTTTAATTAGTCCTGAGCTGTGGTTTGGGAGAACTGGAGTGAGCCTACTGAGCAGCTGGAGCCTCAGCAAATGCAAAACAGGTCCCTTTTAATTAAGCCCAGGGAGGCCCTTGGCGTGGTGGCTGTGAAGTGCAAAGCCTCCCGTGAGCAGCCTCCACTTGCTGTCCTGGCTGTCCAGATAGGAAGCCTCCTGGCTTCTGCTGATCTAGAACTGCGCACCCCACCTCCCCAATTCTCAGCACCAAACTGTCCCATGAGGCTTGGCAGATCTTCCTGGAGCCTCAGTGCCTAAGGCTTGAGGGGTGCTAAGGGCAGCCTCCTGCACCCCCCCACCCGCCCCCCGAGCTAGCTCTATAGTTTCTCATTTGTGGGGAGGGAGAGTGTGAGCCACCAAGAAGCAAGCCTGTGAATCAGCAGTCAGGGAGCTGGTGCCCTCCCGTGTGGCCCGCTGCCTACCCTTTCTCTCCGGGGACAGACCTCACAGAGAAAGGCAGGTCGCGTTCACCGAGGGGGAAATGCTGTCACATCTGCCCACTATTCCACGGCCTCAGGCCAGCCCTCGGCCAGTGGGACCTGTCTGAACCTGCCACAGGCTATGCTCACCCCAGAAGCCCTTCCTTCCCCAGACTGGCACTGCCCCTCGGCCCTGCGGGCGGGAGCACTGGAGAAAGGGCTCCTCAGAGCATCCTGGGGCTTAGAAGAGGTCAAGGTACCCCCCGAGGGGAGTGGAGGAGAGAAGACGAGATGGAGGTGAGCAGAGCAGCAGCTGCCTCCTCTCCTGAGACCCCCCGGAGACCCTCTCTGCTGTGTCTGGCCAGCAGTTGGTGAGAACGGAGTCGGCCCTATGTCCTAGATGGGCTGAAAAGGAGCCACGGCCCCCACCCCTTGTGGGAGAGCAGAGATGGGGAGTGTACTGGTCTAAACAGGAACTTACTCCTTTCCCGGCTCAGCCCCTCCTCCGCCGTCACACACACAGTGACAGGGCCCACTATGGAAACCGCCCAGGTCCCAGGAGGTGAAACACGCCACCAACGACTTCCAGAGCAGTCCCTGCCCCAGTCCCTGCCCCAGTCCCGAAGAGGCGCTTTTCACAGTGAGATCCCCGCCCCCCTGCACGAGAAGAGGGCACTGCAGTTGTGGCTTCGGAATACTTCCTTAGCGACGGCGAACCACAGTGGACACATGCAGTGAGTGTCAGTGTGCGTGCAGGCCCCACCTGTGACTTTTACACAGGTGGTGATCTGTCACACGTGAGATCGTGTGTGAAGCTCACACATTCGCATACCCTGACATCTGTGGATGGTCGGTCATCCAGAAGTACACATTGTATATGGTTCTGTGAGGAAGATTCTGTGATGAATCTTTGTATAATTCATCAGTATAATTAAGAAGAGCCACTCGGAGGGGGGACAATGAACACGTGAATGCATGCCCTTGTACAGACACGGTGAAGTTCAAAGACCTTTTTTTTAATTGCTCATGGGTAGGAAAAACTCAGGATTGAAGGTGTCTTTGCTCAGACTGACACCTCTGGTCTGTCCCTCTCAGCCATAAGCTTGCTTCTCCCTGGCGGGGGAGGGGAGGCATTTGTATCCTGGGGACCGAGTCCCCTCGCTGCCCCTAGCCTCCCTCCATCCGTGGTCCCTGCCTGCCTCACTGTCTGTACCTTCTGGAAGCCCAGGTCCCCTCGCTGGAAAGCCGGAGCCTGCTCTTCCCTGGGACAGTGGGTTACAAACAGCAGAGTCCACAGAGACATCACTGGCTGTTTCCCTTCTCCCGCCCCTCTTCTCGTAAGGAAAGCCGAGGTGAGCTCAGGACGCCTCAGCAAAGAGTCTCCCCCTTCTCTCCATGAGAGGCTCCGGGGAAGAGCAGGAGTTCCCAGGTGGGGTGCCTGCACCGGAACTGACCTCCCTTCCCCCCAGCTGCCTTCCTGAGAAACAGCCCCCAGGTGAAAGTGGAGGTGGGTGGGAACTTCAGGGGTGACACTCTCCCTCTGCAGGGGCTTCTGGGCTTCCAGTCCGGGAGACACAGGACAGTGCTGTCTCAGCAGGACGGAAAGAGCCCCATCGCCTTCCCCATCCTCTCAGACCCCTTCAGATGCTCCTTTAAGGGCCCAGAGAGGGAGGTGCAGCCCCAGGACACACGCACGCACACATGCATGCACACACACACACACACACGCACACACACAGGATCAGGAGACAGAGGCAGCGCACACTCGCAGAAATGACAGACCTGGGGGAGCAGCAGGAGGTGGTTGGAGAGCCGGTAAGGGTCTCCCCAGCATCCAGACCAGGCTCTCAGGCCTGAGCACAGCCTTTGAAAGGCCTCCAGCAGGGAGCAGAGGTCACTGCTTTCCTGAGCGCTGTTTAAAGTGAAATCCGCAAACCCACAACGTAAGTGTGAGAAGTCCAACAAAGTTCTGACTCTGTGATTTCTGCCCCGACGCTTCAAAAAGCGGACGTATTGTTTCACCCACACTTTTGGTGGCTCCGCTTCACTCATGCTCTAAGCGCCTGTCTTAAGACCAGTAACTCGGCCCCTCCCCCACCTCAGTGTTCCCAAGAGGACATGGAGACTAGGTGGGGAGAGGGCCTGTCCAAGGCCACGCACGGACTCCCTCCCCTACAAAGAACTGCGTCCCCTCGCTGAGCCTCCCCCTCTCCCGACCGGCCACCAGTCCCAGCGCCCTCACCTGGGGCTCCCTCACCTGGGGTGGATGTCCACGAGCAGCACGAGCGTCTGCATGGTGATCACGTCGATGCGCTTGCAGTGGAAGCGGGCCACTTTGAGCACCTTGAGGTACGTGCAGCAGAGCACGACGAAGGAGAGCAGGAAGCTGAGCGTGTGGAAGGCGCCGGTGAAGACGGCGAAGCGCAGGCGCTCGTCCGGCCGCCAGCTGCACAGCGTGCAGGACGCGTACAGCGGGTGGAAGCCCAGCCAGGACAGGGCGAGCGCGGTGGCTGGGAAGGTGAGCGCGTGCAGCCACGTGTAGGCCACCATGAGCGCGGCGTCCCGGAGGCGCATCTTGGCGCGGTAGCTCAGCGGGAAGACCACGGCCACCCAGCGGTCGATACTGAGCGCTGCCATGCTGAGCATGGAGTTGGTGGCCAGGAAGGTGTCGAGGAAGGCAGCCAGGCGGCACAGGCGGTCGCCGGCGGGCTGTCGCTGCGCCACGACGCCGGCCAGGGTGAGCGGCATGTTGACCACGGTGCACAGCAGGTTGCTGCACGTGAGGTTGAGCGTGAAGAGCGCCGGCGCCTGGCGGCGGATGTCGGCGCTGTGCAGGAGGCAGAGCAGCACCAGCGCGTTGGACAGCAGCGACACGGCCATCGTGCC